GAGTAATTAATTTTTATAAATAATATTAACTATAAATTTCTAAGGTCACATTAAAAATTTTTCAACAATTTATAGTTTTTCTTGGCTTTACTTACTTCTCTTATCGTTAGATAGCCGTTGCTTGCATGCACGCAGTCGCAAGATCTTAAAAATTTGATCACAAGGATGATTCTTATTCTATACAAATGTCATCGTGGTTATAATCATAAAAAGGCACTGCTTTTGTTGTTAGAACCCAAGTTAGAATACATGTATTGTTGACGGATCCATAAGCAGAGTTCAGAAAGTTAGCGTAATGACTATCAGTGTAAATTAAATTAATCCACCATTGCAATGAAAAACTCTGAGGCATATCTGCAGCCGTAACCCCGTCATCTGTGTCTGTTGAAAGAGTAGTGCAACGCATAATAGATTATACGTTCTACCATTGTAGCTACATTCTTACTGTTGACTAGAATTACTTTTACAAAGCGTGAAAATGTTGCACATAAGCTAAATATGCGTACTAGACTTATCATAGTGAAGTAAGTATATTATTACACATGAAGCAGCTTATTACATGATAGCTACTATCAGGTCGTAGTTCTACAGTTCTAAATACGGACATGGAAAAGTAGTTTCCTAGAATCCTAAGCCGAATGAGTAAGGACTGGGTGCTACACTTATCACTATATATTACTTAGTCCTTGAAGTACATGAATTGTAGCTCAAACTACTCTTACGCGAAAGCGTAGCTTCTTCCCATTTTAATTTTAACGAAATTTATGGTATATGTGCTGATCATAGCAGATTGCGAGAGAGGTACAGTGCAACAGACCAGGAGACCTCTCTCTTTTTTTCTCTCCCTACTACTTTTGCATGTTTTCCCCACTTGTTATACCATCTCAGAAGCATCTTGGCTTCGAAAAAGCAATCTCATATCTAATACTATAAGCAGAGCAGATTCTTTCTCCCTCTTCTTTTTTTTCTCTTTCTCTCTACGATTATATTATTAGCTTAAACCTAATACTACAAGCAGAGTAAGTCTCTCTTTTTATTTATCTCTTTCTCTTTCCTCCTATACAACTTTAAGATTTCTCATGTTCTCTTATCCAATTAACCAGATCTTCTATTCTTACCCCCGACCGATGTACCAGCTCAAAAATACTTACATACAACACATTGGATCCGTTAAAGCTCGTTTGGCTTGCTTTAATGGGTCAAAGTGTTGCAGCAACTACTGCACTTTTTTAAGCTTTGTTTAGACGAGTAGCAACGTAGCTCTATATATTTGATAGTAGTTTTTAAATTTGGGTGATGATTTTGTTATTATTACTCTGCCAACGTCTGTTCTCTATCAAGTTGCACAGTTTAACTCTTACTTTGCCGAGTTTTCTTTGAGAAGGATAGAAGATACAATGACATAGGGGCTTTCAATTCTGGTTACTGCTACTTAACCCTTGTAGCTTTATGAAATAGGGCTGCTACAAGGAGTATCCTGTCCCTAAAAGTTGGTGCAGCAGTTGATTAAAAAAACGTAAGTTTTGCAGCTATTGGAATTGCTTATCTAAAAGGCCTTAAATGTTTTCAGTGTCAGCAAGAAGAAGGCAGCGTTAATGTCACCATAAATAAAGCATATAAGACGACGGACATGAAAGCAAATGCACATAGCTGTGGCGCCAAAAACTGTGTTGTATGTAGTTTTTTTCCGTGTAGTGCCATAAAATTATAGGACAACATGCCTCTGCATGAAATCAAAATGAGTAAAACAATGAAATTAATGTATCCATGGCTGCAGCTATAATAAGCGATTATAGGTTGTGGAGAGTACCTGTTAAAGTGCATGTAACTGCTCGTCAACTCTTGCCTATTACTTTGCCATAACAATCCGTGAGAGGTGCCCAATAAGCAAGTGCTCAGTCTGTAGTGAGGACAAGCTTTATGATGTCAGACGGTTGGTCACTACTGTTGCAAAATATTACATTCCATTAAAAATCTTAAATACGATAAAAATGAATCAGACTCCTCGTAGCAAGATGTCACATATATAAAACAAAAGTAATGAGTTCTAAGAACTATTTTTGCATACTCCATGCCCTTGGCAAGATCAATGCTGATACATGGAATTCACATAATTTTGTAATTTATTTGGTAAGCATTAGTTAATACTATTAAATAATTAGTTATACAAATAATAAATGTTCAAAGATGTGCAGAACAATACTTTGTTTACGGTGTGCAAGACAATTAGCAAGAACGTGCTAAGTATACTTGTTGGCCTAGTTAACTCAAATAAATTAAATAAAAAAAGATGGTTTAACATCTGACGACACTATCGACTTGTCATGCTTGTAGAATTTATCTTACGTATTCTGATAAATCCGATACTATATTCCAAACAAAAATCTTTACTGCATTGATATGTTCCACTTTAACAACAAGATATATATCAATATTCTACTTACCCAACGGGAATGTAAGATATACGTTATAGGCTACAGAATGTTAAAAATCTTGTGCAATGAGAAATTCTTTTAAATAAATATAAAAACTTTTGTTTCTGCTTACATGTTGTGACATTTGTGACTTTGTAATTAATTTTCGACGTACGAGCCCTGAAACCATCTGCCTCGGCTACTCTGATAGTCTGTAACAGTTTCATTTCGCTGAAAACTAGATATCTTATCTTAAAATCAAGAACTTTACAGATTTACATTCAGGGATTTCTAAAATTGTGATCTTTTTTGTTATTTAAAATGAGGCTTTCAATAACAGAAAATATATTTAAATTACAATGTCTTGGAATCTTGATATTAAACAAGATTGGGACATGGGCCTGGTGCTTGCCCTCCGAAAATGCACCACCAGGTATCACAACTACTATTTTCAGGCTTTATTGCTCAAAATCTTCAAAAGTATCGCTTGTAGGAAAAAAATGCTGAATTGTGAATTTATTTATTTCACGTTTTTTCATCAATAATAAGTATTTTTAAAACAAAAAAAATTATTGTTCAGCGTGTAAATAAGAAAAAAGACAGACAACGCAAAATAAGTTGAATAACAACAAAAGTACTTTAATAACTTAACATCCGATGAAAACAAAAAAACTTTGTTTTATTAACTCAATTTTATGGACTTTTATTTGCTTTACAATTTGCATCATGTCCAATGACGAAGTTTTCGAAATGGTATTCCCATGTACTGTTATCGAGTCTAATGGAGCTGCTTTTATTACTTTTTAATCTTATGACTTGACTTTAATTTCTTTTCAATAATTATTATACAGTAATAAAGTTTTTCTAGCAGTTATGGGACTTTTTATCGCAATAAAAAATTAATTGTATCATAACTTGTGTACGGAGTACTGCTCTCGCTTTTGAGAATTTACAGCCTGAAATGCCTCACACCATTTACACTATTGTTTAAAATAACTCGTTACAAAATAATTTCTGCTAATTATTTATGACCCTAGTTATTAAAATGAAAACCTATGAATACAATTACGTGTATTCCTCTAGTATTTTTCTTCAGCTAACTAGTGGTGCTATATTTTTTATTATGTCTCCACCCCAAGGTAAAATAAAAACTTCATTTTTTTATGTACTAGGTTAAAGTCAAGTTATTCAGCACTTTTTCAGTATGTAATCATTGTTTTTCAAAGTTCATTGGTTGTATATATATATATTCTATCATTTATAACAAATTCAGGATGAAATAAGTTTTTGAACCAGCCTGTTGGGGTGGAGATCTTGGAACAGCGAGGGGGAGTGAAGGGTGGCGTGAGTCACCTTTGAGAGTGTTGAATTGGCTGTCAAGATCAAACAACAATAAGGATGTTTTGCTGGAGGCTCTGAGCATGATGAGATAACTGCTTCTGCTGAGATCCGAGTAGTCGCTAGAATTAGTGGGTGGCTGGCCAGTGGAGTGTTGTGAGTGAGATAAGTCAGCCACCAGTGTGATGTACGTTTGATTCCCTCGTTCAATGGATTAGTGTGCAAAGAGTGTGAATAATAGAAAGTGAGAGCAGATATGAAGAGAGAAATAACAGGGTAGTGTGATCATAGTCTACTAGTCACCACCATGCGAGGGAATGACTGTACCATCAGGCATGAGGCTTAAAATTTGATCTGCACGCGATATTTAACATTAAATATATGTGAAACGATTAAAATTAAAGAATAGTTATAATTTTAGTAGTTGCTAATTAAAGAAATAAGAGCCTGGGTGGCAACGATCAAATGTACTATGGAAACTGCAAATAAACAAGATTATAATTCTCAGCAATCACGATGTACTCACGTAGCAACTGTAGAAAAGTAGATCTTGATTGGTTTTAATTTACCAAGGTAACAGCCAATCAAAATTTCAAATAATCTTGCAATGAGCTGCTCTTTTTGAATTTCTTATTTATAATTGGTGTATGCCGTTGAGCATACAAAAGACAATAACATATTTAATTTTAACCAAAGTTAATGTACTAATTTAAGTCTTTAAAATTTTCTAATTCTCTTTTGCTTGTTTCAATGATAGAAAAACAATTTCATTGACCTATAAAAGTTTCTTTCTATTTTGCAAAATTATCATTATTATAATTTTTTCATAAAATATTTTGTTAGTNTGAGTTCTAAGAACTATTTTTGCATACTCCATGCCCTTGGCAAGATCAATGCTGATACATGGAATTCACATAATTTTGTAATTTATTTGGTAAGCATTAGTTAATACTATTAAATAATTAGTTATACAAATAATAAATGTTCAAAGATGTGCAGAACAATACTTTGTTTACGGTGTGCAAGACAATTAGCAAGAACGTGCTAAGTATACTTGTTGGCCTAGTTAACTCAAATAAATTAAATAAAAAAAGATGGTTTAACATCTGACGACACTATCGACTTGTCATGCTTGTAGAATTTATCTTACGTATTCTGATAAATCCGATACTATATTCCAAACAAAAATCTTTACTGCATTGATATGTTCCACTTTAACAACAAGATATATATCAATATTCTACTTACCCAACAGTGACATCAAAAATATTACTGCCAACAGAACTAGAAACTGCCATATCACCAAATCCTTTTCTCGCAACTATCACGCTTGTTATAAGATCTGGAATACTTGTCCCAGCAGCAAGAAATGTTAATCCCATAACTTCAGGAGGAAGTTGAATGGTATCTCCAGCAACGTTCGCCCACCATACCATTAAATAAGAATACGCTGCTATCCATACAATAGATCCAATAAAAGTTACTGCAAAAAATCTTTTGCCTGTAATAAAAAAACTCGTAATTAAATTCTAACAACAAGACAAATTGCTAATATACTAGTCAAGCAGGTGATAACCATACTTTACGTATATCAGTTAAGCTAAAATTCGGTAAAGTACATAGCTAGTGTGACTTTAAGTGTTTCGTAGTAAGAAAAAATAAATGTTAATCATCTACTTCTTAGAATTATCTACGCAAATGATAATGATGATAATAATGAAAAAGATGATAATAATGACGATAAAGATAATAATTACAATGACAATGAAAATGATAATGCTGGTGAAGGTAGAAGTAATGATGACTACAACGATAATTTAAATAATAGTAATAATGGCAACAGTGACGATGCTAAAAATAATAATAGTAATAACAAAAATAATGGTAATGTTCATAATGATATTTATAATAATAACGATGATTATAAATACGATCATAATAATAGAAATATTGATAATAATACTCATAATTATAATATAAAATAATGATGATAAAAAAAGTAATAATGATGATAATACTGATATGATTAAGAAAGAAATCAAGCTTTTGGATTAAGAATTATACGTATACATAATATGCATGTATAATTCGTTTAAAAAATGCCACTTCAGGATGTTTATTGCACATAGGTTCTGGACAAATATAATTGAAACGTCTCACTTATATTCGTTGCAGCGTAAGAAATATCTACAAAAATTTTAGGTTATTTAGCCGTACCGTTTCATATTTGTTCAATTAAAATAAATCTCCATCCAATGTGTAACCTAATGATATTACATCCAAACTTCTAAGTGAAGGGTAAAATTTTGTAGTTTCGTTCTACAAACAAACAAATTTATTTTTCGCTCATCAGGAACCAGCCGTTGACCTACAAACCTTATGTGCTCTTACTTACAGCGTACTTTTCTTTTAAATCATTGACTCGGCGTTGTAATATTAGGTCTCACCGAATGGTATGTATACAGTACTTTTAACGTGTTGTATGCCAATTCGATGTTGACCTGCTGCTTGAATTTTCGTTTTATGTATAATTCAGTTGTAGCGTATTTCATTCGTCACCTTATTTCACGTCCTTGTCAAGGTTTTTGTCATACGCTGTATGTTGACTTTTTTTCTTAGTTTTTATTTTACTCATTAAGGCTCGAATTTTGTTCTGTTAATTAAAATTAAAAATGTTGGAATATATAAATCAGAAAAATAAATTTAATTTACAACCAAGTTAAGTTTTATCTAATAATATCGTGACTTGGGTAAAGCCATGAGTAATTAATTTTTATAAATAATATTAACTATAAATTTCTAAGGTCACATTAAAAATTTTTCAACAATTTATAGTTTTTCTTGGCTTTACTTACTTCTCTTATCGTTAGATAGCCGTTGCTTGCATGCACGCAGTCGCAAGATCTTAAAAATTTGATCACAAGGATGATTCTTATTCTATACAAATGTCATCGTGGTTATAATCATAAAAAGGCACTGCTTTTGTTGTTAGAACCCAAGTTAGAATACATGTATTGTTGACGGATCCATAAGCAGAGTTCAGAAAGTTAGCGTAATGACTATCAGTGTAAATTAAATTAATCCACCATTGCAATGAAAAACTCTGAGGCATATCTGCAGCCGTAACCCCGTCATCTGTGTCTGTTGAAAGAGTAGTGCAACGCATAATAGATTATACGTTCTACCATTGTAGCTACATTCTTACTGTTGACTAGAATTACTTTTACAAAGCGTGAAAATGTTGCACATAAGCTAAATATGCGTACTAGACTTATCATAGTGAAGTAAGTATATTATTACACATGAAGCAGCTTATTACATGATAGCTACTATCAGGTCGTAGTTCTACAGTTCTAAATACGGACATGGAAAAGTAGTTTCCTAGAATCCTAAGCCGAATGAGTAAGGACTGGGTGCTACACTTATCACTATATATTACTTAGTCCTTGAAGTACATGAATTGTAGCTCAAACTACTCTTACGCGAAAGCGTAGCTTCTTCCCATTTTAATTTTAACGAAATTTATGGTATATGTGCTGATCATAGCAGATTGCGAGAGAGGTACAGTGCAACAGACCAGGAGACCTCTCTCTTTTTTTCTCTCNGTAATTATTATGATAATGATAATAATAATGATGATGACGATAATGACGATAATGATCATGATAACAATGATAATGATAATGATGACAATAGTGATGATGTTACTGACAATGTTATTAAAAAAAAATGATAGTATTGATAGTAATTATAATATTAATAATAATGATATCGATAATAATAATAATAAGAATGACAATGATAATGATGATAATGATGATGTTGATGATAATATTGATGATGACAATGATATTAATAATGATGATGACGATGATAATGATAATAATAATGACGATGATGATGATGATGATGATAATGATAATGTTAATGATAATATTGATGATAATAATAATATTAAGAATAAGCATAACGATGATAATAATCATGAGAATGATGATGTTAATAATAATAATCATAATGATAATGATAATAATTGTGATGATAATAATAATACAAGAAAGAATAATAATAATGATGACCATGACAGTGATGATGAATTTTAAATGATAATGATTAGGATCATGATGATAATGATTATGATGTTGATGATAATAAAGATGACAATGATCATGATGACAATGATAATAATTATAAAAATAATAGTAAAAGTGATAATTATGATAATGATAATCGTAATAATGATAATCACGATAATAACGAAGATGATGATTATGACGATGATTTTGATAACAATAATAATGATAATGATAATAATGCTGATAATAAAAATGATAACAATGATGATAATGATGATAATAAGAAGGATGGTAATTATGAAGATGGTGATAATGTTGATTGTAATAATGATAATAATATCTATGATGATAATAATAATGATAATAAAAAGATTGAGGATATTGCTATTGATAATGATAATATTAACGATGGTAATGATGATGATAATAATTAATATAATAACAAAGATAATAATCATGACTATAATAATTATGATGATGATTATTACGACAATGATAAAGATGACGATTATGACTGTGATTATAATGATAATGATAATTATAATAATAATGATGATAATAATAATGATGATGATGATAATGATAATAACGATGACAATGATGACGACGATGACGATGACATTAATGATGACGATGACGATAACGATGGTAATGATGATGATGATCATAATGATAATGATGATGACGATGTTGATGATAATGATGATGATGATAATGATGATAATAATAAATACGATGGTAATGATGATGATAATAATGATGATAAAGATTCGACGACGACGACGACGACGATAACGACAACGACCACGACGATGACGATGAAGACGATTATGACGATCAGGATGATGATGATAATAATCATGGTAATGATGATGATAATAATGATGATAATGATGATGATAATGATGATGATGATGATGATGATGATGATGATGATGATGTTAAAAATGATAATGATAATAATGACTATGACGATGACGGAGATAAATATGATGATATTGATGATGATGATGATGATGATGATAATAATAATGATGATGATAATAATAGTAATAATAATTAAAGTGATGATGAAAAAGATAATAATGGTATTGATAACAACGATAACAATAATGGTAATAACAGTAATGATAGCATGAATTACAATATTAATCATACTGATGATGATAATAATAATTATGATGGTAATGATGATGATGATAATGATAATGGTAAATTTGATAATAATGATAACAATTTTTACGATGATTCCAATTAAGACAGTTATGGTAATAAAAATAAAAATAATTATTATAATGAGGATGATAATTTTGTCAATAACAACAATAATAATTATGTCAAAAGTAATAATATCGTTGATAATGATTGTGATAATGATGATTATGTTCACAATGATTTTGATGCGAACAGTTATGAGAAAAAAAATATTTATAATAATGATAGTAATAATGATAATGATGAT